GCAGTGATTTGGTTGCATGCTCATGTTTTTCCGCTCCTGATTTGTACAGAAAACAGAGACTGCCCACTGTAACCAGTACTTTGGTTTCAAGGACATTAGTGGTCCCTGCATGAAGCACCTGAAAAATTAAGTCACACAAAACTGCCTCCTTGTGTGCTAGCAAAACACAACCTGGTAGTTAGGGTTGCCTTATTGATGTTTATTATTTATGTCAAGACCACTGTAGAGCCTTAATCTCTACTGTGCATGACCTGGGCACCAGGAGTGTATGAACTAACCTTCACCTCACTGGCCATTGTCATGGCTGCTTGATGTAGTCTGTGTGGACAGACATGGCCCTGCCCTTGAGTAGCGTGCATTTTTAAGGCACAGATCCACATCCAGTTTGTCACTCCTCAGGGAACACGTGTTAATGAAAGCATCCAACACGTTACCTGTGCACATTTGCAATTGTTTGAGCTTTTATTTTACCATTTCTTTGTCTCTGGGCTCTTTTTTCCTGTGAGTAATAAGAAAAGAGATTCTTGTTGACAAATAAGCAAGCGTTCTCACTGCCTTCAACCAGTTCAGGAAAATTCCTGCATTGTGGGGATTCTTTCTGTTTTGGTCACTTGATCTTGTTGATTTGACTCATAGCTGGTTGCTGTTTTCCTTTTTTCAGCCCACTAGCCTGTGATTTTTTTTTCAGCAATATAATTGCCATCAGTCCTTCTACCTTCTGATGTGGATGCCAGACTCGTTTGACTCATCAGTGACTCAAAAAAGTCCAGCTCTGGTATTTGAATGATCTGGTTAATTTTTTTTTTTTTTAATCCTTTAGACTGCTTGTTCTCATGTTTTTCTGTCAGAAGCAAATGTCCATTTGCCCACTTGACAGACGTCCTCCTGTTTTGAGTGACATTACTGAATCATTTGCTCTTTTTTTCTTAATTCACTGAAGCTGCAAATTAGAATTTGTTGTAGTATAGTTTCCTTAACCACTGAACATTTGATTTGCTGTTGATTTTACTCCCCACTCAGTCTCTGCAATAATCACCTTCCTACTCATCCTCAGAAAGGATTGTCATCATTTCAGCTTAGACATCTGTCCTCTTAGAAGCTCTCAGTCTTATTATGTGAGGTCTCCTGTCAAAGAAAACTGTAGTGTTCCTGTAGTCAGAGAGTGCCAGGTTTTTCAGGTCTCCATATCACGTGACCCATGGAGGATGTCGGTAAAGAGTCTCCCTCTTGGGATGCATATTTGTCTATCTTGGCTGCAAAACTGTGAAATATTATGATTAAGTTTTTGGCATTTTCTTCTTGGACAACGAATTCCTCTCCCTGATTTTTTGCTTTTGTTGTTGTTTTGTTACAGGTCCACCACATGTGACAGGTCCTAGATACCTGAATATAAGTCAAAATATAATCTCAAAAAGAATTTATTGTTTTAAGAAAGAATCCTATGTCCTCCAGTAAATGAAACCCTCCTCAAGCTCAGTTAGGGTGTAGCCACCTGTTTATTCTATTAACTGCTAGTCCAAGGAAGGTTGAGTCCTCGTTATCTATCCATACCCTCGTTCTCTTATGGGTTTATGGGAGTTTGGAATTAACACACAGTACTATATGTAAAATAGATCAACAAAGACCTACTATATAGTACAGGGAACTCTACTCAGTACTCTGTAATAACCTGTATGGGAAAAGAATCTGAAAAAAAGAATAGATATATGTATAACTGAATCACTTTGTCATACACCTGAAACTAACAATGTTGTAAATCTGCTACACCCCAAAATAAAATTTTTAAAAAATAAAAAAATTTTCTTTTTTTTTTTTAGGAGAATATTATTTATTTATTTATTTTTTCCATTTATTTTTATTAGTTGGAGGCTAATTACTTTATATCATTGCAGTGGTTTTTGTCATACATTGAAATGAATTAGCCATGGATTTACATGTATTCCCCATCCCGGTCCCCCCTCCCACCTCCCTCTCCAAAATTATCATTGTTCCACATGCTGCAGCCTTCCTCGTTAGCTCATGAGAGAGACCCAGTCTATAATACTGTAGTGGCAGCTAGGTTTTTAAAACTTTTACCTAAATCCATTTTTTACAAACAAATCTTTTTTATGAGCATTAGGATTCTGATAAAATATTTTATAAAGCAAAACATCTTTCTGTGACTTTTTTCAGTTGTGATTTCAAAATGTTGTCTGTCCTGTGCCCAATCTTAGGTTGCTTATAGTCTACTGAGAAAGGTAGACATATGAACCAGTCAGTACTCTAATATTCATCTGATTAAAATACGAATGAATTAGTGTCAGTCTGCTGTCTGGGGCCTAGGTTCGGTACTCAGGAGGAGCTCAATAAATATTTATTGAATAAGTGAAAATTAAAAAATGTTTCATTTCAGATACTCTGTTTTCTAATGAATAGTAAGATAGGAATAAAAGGTCATGATAATATTTTAGAAAAGCTAATATTCTTTTAGCAAGGCATTATTTTAATTCATAGAATTGTACCCCTCTCATGGACAAGTAAATATAATCACAGAGAAACATGAGCTATAGTTATTCTCTTCTCTTTCCTATGAATTCAGATAATTATGTCCTACATACTTAGCCTCAAACTAGAGTTAATAAAACTCTTCATCTCTCCTCTCACGAAGCAGAACACACATCCTTTGAGCCCCAGAGAAGTGTCATCCTTACTCCCCATGGAGTGGAGGTAGTCTTGGGCTCCTCATACTGTTTCAGGAGTCTTGATTTGAGGATTTTGTGCAAAGGAAAATTTTACTTACTTATGAACTGATTCATACTGATAAATGGCATATCCATTCTCTCAATGATCCCCTAATTATGTAATTTTGGAGTTGTTTTTCTTCCTGGTAGCAAGCTCCCATTTGCAGGCCCTATTAGTCCTCCCACATCTTGGCTTGATGTAACTCTTGATTTCTCTTTCTTTGTTGTTTCTCTTTGGAACTCAAGCTTTTGAAATATGAACTGTTCTAAACCTCAGGAATCAACTTAATAATCTACTTTTTCCAAAATATGATTAGAGTTCAAGGATATCCCATAAGCCTCATGAGTTTTTTTGACTCAGAATTCTGAGAGGCTTCAATATGGCCTTGAGAATTTGCCAGGATGATAGGTGTTATTGATGTGTATGTGTGTGTTTGTATGTTTGTGTATTTGTGTACCTAATGTGAATATTACTCTAGCATCATTTCATAAGCTTATTTTTTATATACATGAGTATATAAAGGAAGAGCATTATATAGATATATATAAAGTATATATATAGGAATATGAAGTATATAAAGGAAGTATATATAGGAAGGGCAAGGAAATGCAAAAGAAGAGCATTTTTTATCATAACATCCCCCCCTCCCCCATTTTGCCTAAAGAGACCTGAGTTCAAATGTTGACTCTGAAATACCATGGAAGTGAGCCTAGTCTTTCTTCTTAGGGATATGGTATACCTCTGGCTCATTTCAGAAAGATCCAGTGAGGATTAACCCAGATATGATATTTCTTGATACATGAATTGATTGTCCAAAACATCAGTTGATTCCAATATGATGTATCTGTAAGGAATGTGGAACAAGAAAGATATTCTAAGTCTCTGATGTTCTGCTCCTATAGTAGTGCCCATGCCATTTATCTGAATCATCCAAAATGTTTTCTTCAGCACATGGTTCCAAGTTTTTAAAGATGGGAAGAAACAGAAAGTTCTTTTCTTTGAGCAGTGTTCTGAAGTTTACAAAATGCATTCTTGCATGTGATCCCACTTGATCCTCATGACAGCGCCCCAAGCTGTGCGAGGCATTTCTCAGGCTCCCCATTGTATAGCTGCATTAACCAAGAAACAGAGAGCCAAGGAATATTGCCTGACTCCACATACCCAGTCAGGAGTGTGGTCTTGGAGGGAACTCAGGGTTTCTCCCCTCTGACTTGGTAATATTCTCCAAGCACTAATATGACTGCTTGGAACATAGACTCAGATTTGTATATGTAGACTACTCTTTAGTCCTTACAGGTCTGTTGGTCAAAAAACTTTCAGTGGAAGCTCAGCATCAAATACTTGGGAGTTAGAGGCAACCCAGAAGGGTCTGGTTGGGGAATGATCAAGGGGTTAGATTGCAGAGCCATAAGGAAGTGGATGGTCAAAGAGTAAATATTTTATGGTGTGGTACCATAGGGTCAGAGGTAGGACATGGCTTAGGCAAGTAAGACAGTTTTAGGGGCAGGAGTTTTAGAATAAAGGGTGAATGTCACAGAAGCCAAAAGGATATGACTGACTGCAAGGGGGCTTTGAAGGTTCTCTCTGTTCTGACCATCTACCAGTCCAAAGAAGATACAACTTATGGTGTGGTGGTTGAGCCACTCAGGAAAAGGCTGGTCATGTGAAAGAGAAGATATGTCCTGTCAAGCAGAGGAATGAGTTTTGCTCTAAAGTTTCACATCACCTGTTAACTCTCAGGTTCTTCCTTGTAATTCCCACTATAAAAAAAAAAAATCATTTATTTATTTATTTCTGGCTGTGCTGGGTCTTTGTCTGGGTCTTTGTTGCTGTCTGTGGGCTTTCTCTAGTTGCAGCGATCCAGGGCTGCTCTCTAGTTGTGGTGTGCAAGCTTCTCATTGTGGTGGCTTCTCTTGTTGCAAAACACGGGCTCTAGGCACACTGGCTTCAGTGGCTGCAGCGTGTGGGCTCAGTAGTTGTGGCACACAGGCCCAGCTGCCCCTTGGCATGTAGAATTGGCCTAGACTAGGGATCAAACCCATGTCCCCTACTTTGGCAGGCAATTTCCCAACCACAGGGTCCATGGGGAAGTCCTCCCACTTGTGATTCTTATTTGTCCTGTAATTCTTCCCTATGTCCTTTTACTAGTTTCATCAGCACCAGAGAGCACCATGTAACCTCATTATTTATAAACTTTTGGATAGGTAGGAACAGACTATCCCAATGGAATCGAATGGAATAATATTAATATGGGGTTTGTGGGTTTTTGTCCCCCGCAGAGGAACAAAGAAACAGCCTCATCAACTCCAGTTTGGAATCTGTCGTCTCTTCAAATGCGAACAGCATCCTCAATTCCAGCAGCAGCTTACAGCCCAACATGAACTCCAGTGACCCAGACCTGGATGTGCTCAAACCCACCCGGCCCAACTCACTGTAAGTATGATGTCCGGCTGCCGGCCACAGGGGGGTCTTGTCAGCCATTCTACCCAGAATGTGCTCTCTGGCTCTGCCTGACTTTGAGTATTGTCCCATGAGCCCAATGTAAACCTTCTCCCTCAACTTGGAAGCTTGGCTAATAAGTTTATTTCACATTTTTTAAGCATCATCATCTCGAAGGGGAACATACTGCTTCTTGGCCTTGGTGACGTTTGACCTACCATCCTGCTGAGATGGCTTTGGTGATGGCTCCTTGCCTGTGCTGGCTGCTGGGGCATGAAAAACTATTTCTTTTAGTTTTACAAACATCCGGGCACTGTAGTAGCTCAGTAGATCAGTAGCTACATTTGTTTCACTCATTTGTGTTGTCACAGTTTCCCCCTTCTCCCCAACTTTGTTGAGTATGTTCAGTGCTATCTGTCTCCACTGCTAGAGAGAATAGCTCCAGGAGCCCTTTGAATCTTTAGCTCCTCAAATCTTAGCATGACCATGATCACAGAGCAGATGCTCTAAAAGAGAAGAACCTCTGTTGCTTCATTCTTGGGCATTGAGCACCCACAGCTGAGACAGGCAATTTTGAGGCTGGTTGTCCAGTCCTCCACGGAAACTAGATCTACTCTGCTTGGGCCAGAAAGTTCTCTCTTGTGGTTGCATCCCACATTACTTAGCTTGCTTCTTCAGACCACCCCATAAATCTTATCCACTAGAGCCTTTGCAGAAAGAATGTGAGGCCATGACCAGAACAGCTGGACCCTCTGGCCACAGTTGTATGAAACTCAGGAAGAGCAGAGTTGACTTTGCCTTTCTCTGGTGAAAATAGTTTGAGGTTCAGCCACAAATTGCCTTCAGGTCAGTCGTTTCTCTTGGTGAGACACCAGCATGTTAGAACCTTTCCTACCCTTCTCCTTGCTGTGGTTGCATGATTGCACCCCGCCATTCTATCTCACATATTTACAGACCCGCAAAATGGGTCTAACATTTTTTTTCCTTAGAAGAGACTAAGGGATACTAAGGGTTGGAATGAGAAATGACTCTAAAATGGGTAAGAGGTGCTTAGAAAATGCAGCCACAGTGTAAGATGAAACTGTACATTGAGAAAATCAGGTCTCTTTTTAATTGTTGACAGCTTTAAATCCTACCTTGATATTCAAGAAGTTTAATTACTTACCTGTTATGAGGTAGATGATGTGTTTGTTTACCAAGAAGTATCCTCAAATGTTCAAAATAATGTAACTTGTTCAGCTTGTGGGCAGTGAGTCCCTTCTGGTTCTCCACAGCCAGTGGAGCCTCCCTCCATTGATGGATGGCTCCCTCAGGGTCTCCTAACACTGCTTTCCTAGACTTTAAGGAGATTCTGGTTCCTTTTCTTCCATTTTATTTACGCCTCTGTACCTTGCAGTTGCTGAGGTTATTTGTTGCTCATCATGAGCACAGTTGCTCAACACTCCCTGATTTTCACCAGCAGCACCAACTAGTGGTCTTTAAGCTCTGTTTTCAGCAGCTGGTGTCTGGGAACCCCTGAGGCTTTGCTGAGTATAGTGTGTCCAAAGAGGCTGCTTTAGCAGTTACATGGAAATGGGGGTTGTGTCCTTTAAACAGGTCATGGATGAGGGGGCTTGTGACTTTTTATTTTTTGATGTCTAGTTGTGATTTTTTTGAGAACCCAGTTATTTGTCATGTGCTATGAAATGTACAAAAGTCATACTTTAAGTAAGCTAGATTTGTTTTATATAAACACTAGCTATCACTTTACCTGCTTCATGCCATCCACAGGACACATGCCTACCTGCTATAGGTTTGGGGGCTTTCCCAGGGAAGGGAGTATGAGGCCAAGAACAGTCTCCTTGTTTGGTGGAGGATGGGAGGCTGGAATGTGGGTATGTTTCTTGCTGGGCTGTTGTCTTCCATTCAAGGGAATAGCTAAGTGATACCTGGGAATCCTGAGCTCCGGGAAGGCTGCTGCTCTTGAGGTAGAAGCAGTGCTGACACTGGGGTTTGCCTCAGCCCTGATGAGGGCCTTGTCAATGGCTCCACACTGCAGCTGGTTCACCACCCATTTCTGAAACCCAGAGCCAGGAGAGGTTGTCACCCAGTTTGTGCCTGCCTGGTTTTTTCTGCCTGGGATTGGCCTGGATGGACCATACACAGACAGACTCGAGATTACCCTGGCAAATGCAAGCCGCAGCTTTTCCCTGAGGCTGTGAATTCTGAGAGGTCTGAAGCACCTTCTGCTGGTGTGCTTGGGCTCTGTCACAACCAGTCCAGGCTACTTGGGTCTCAGCACTGGACCCTTTCATTCTTTCCATCCTTGCTCACTTTGAGGTGCACCAAACTCCTTGAATGGGGAACACTTAATGATGCAGATGAGGACACAAGACCAAATCAAGGGGTGGGGGATTCCCACTACGTTGAATATAAATTAGGCATAAGGTGGGGAACCAGTCACCAGAAAACTGTCCGTTTTTTTTTTTTTTTAATTTCATTCATTTGTTTTTCATTGTTTTCATAATGACTGGGATGATCCTTCTGACCACATAACAATCATAATGAAAGAAACATATTTGTGACTCAGCATCTTTGGTACTTCGGAGGCCATATTTTGCTGTCTCATTGGTAAATCTTTCCTAATTCTCCAAGGGGATGAGTGCCCCCTTGTTTGTGTGGACATAATGCTAAAGCTGGCATCGGAATCAGAGATGCTACCATTTCAGCCTTGCTAGGACAAGACTTTGGGGATCCTGTCTTTGGAAGGTCCTCAGCCATCTCTCCTAAAGATCAAAGAGCACTTTAGCTTATCTGAAATGGTCGGTGGAGATCACTGACCAAATTTATGCTCAGACCTCTGCTGAGCTTCCTGTGGTAAAGGAGAAGGAGGGAATTCTGGGCCTCCCCAGAAGTTTATACTCTGGTTGAGGAGGAGAGACAGCGGTAAACGACAGTGCTAAATGCGACTTAGAGCTCAGAAGTGCATATAGAGTTCAACAACTCTTAATTGGGTATTTGTTAGGTACACAAGCCAGTCTAGTGCTGGGAAAGGTGGAGTAGACGAAATGTGAGGTGGCCACTAGGTAAGATGATACGAATGGATGGAAGAGCATTTCAGGTAAGGGGATGAGGGAGCAGAGGTGATCCAGGATGGAGAAAAGTATTCTACGGAAATGTGTATTGGAGGAAGGGGAACTTAGTTGTCATCTCAGCATGACCACCGGGGGAAAAAAAAAAATTGAACCAACCTTTAAGATCAGGTCACTTCACAAAAAAATCCAGATTTCATACTGGCTGGAACCACTAGACATACACACACACACAAATGAATTTAGACATAGACCTTACAAGTTTCACAAAAATTAACTCAAAATGGATCATATACCTAAGTGTAAAATGCAAAACTATAAAATTCTAGAATACAACATAGGAGAAAAACTAGGTGTCTTTGGGTTTGGCAGTGACTGTTTCAATATTGCACCAAAAGCATAATCCATGAAAGAAAAAATTGGTAAGTTGGACTTCATTTAGGCTAAAAGCTTCTGCTCTGCAAAAGACATTATTAAGAAAATGAAAAGCCAAGCCACAGACTAGAAGAAAACATTTGCAAAATGCATATCTGATAAAGGACCAGTATGCTCAATATTAAAGCAAGGATATATCATTCCACACCTATTAGAATGGCTAGGCTCCAAATCACTGACATCAAATGCTGATGAGGATAAGGAGCAACAGAAGTCTCATGCATTGCTGGTGGGAATGCAAACTGAGAAAGCCACTATAAAAGGCAAGCTGATTGCTTCTTATAAAACTAAATGTAGACTTATCACACAACACGATCAAGCAACCACACTCCTCGATGTTTATTCAAATAAGTTGAAAACTTACATTCACAACAAAATCCTGCCCACAAATATAAATAGCAGCTTTATTCATAATTGCCAAGTTGGAAGCAACCAAGTCATTCTTCAGCAGGTGAATGGATAACCAAACTATGATACATCCAAACAATGGAATATTATTTGATGTTGAGAGGAAACGAGCTATTAAGTCATGAAAAGACATGGATGAACCATAAATGCATAAAGCCACTCTGAAAAGACTATAGTATGGTATGATACCAACCACATGGCATTTTGGAAAACAGAAAACTGCAAAATCAGTAAAAAGATTAGAGGGCAGGAAGGACACAGGGTTTTTTTAGGACAGTGATACTTTACTATATGATACTCCAAAAGTAGATATGACATTATACCTTTTCAGAACTCATAAAACCCATAGAACAGAAAGAGTGGATCCTAATGTAAGCTGTGGACTTTAGTTGGTAGTTAATAATGGTAATAATAATGTATCAAAATTGGTTCATCAGTAGCTATAAATGTACCACAGTAATGAAAGGTGTTAATAACAGAGGAAACTTAGGGAAAGGGAAGAGTTATATGAAGATTCTAAGTTATTTTGAGCAATTTTTTATAAGCTTAAAACTGGTCTAAAAAATAGGCTATCAATAGATTTTTTAAAATCTAGATTTCCAGCTTCTGAAAAGTTAAAAGATTTGGCCACTTTAAATCCATATGTTTTCTGGTGACAGATGAAACTCTTCAATCCCTAGCTTCTTATGGTCCCAGTTCATTCCTTTCTGTCTTGGAGGCCTATGATAAATATGGCCCAAGAGTCTTTGCAGCTCCTCCCCTTAAGAGGTGGAGCTGTTGAACTTAGGCTGGCCTTTACCCTCTGACTTGATTTGACCATCATATGACTTCCACACCAGGCCACAAGGCCCTGCAGTTTCCTGTCTAATCCTCTTAGAACCCAGTCACCATGTAAAAAAGCCCAGTCCAGCCTCCTTGAGGATGAAGGACTATTGGAGAGAGAAGGCCTACTATCCCAGCTAAGCCCAGAACCTGGGCCACCAAGTCAGCCAGTGTAGCCACATGAGTGAGTCCAGGAAAGAGCAACAGAAATGCTGCCCAGTTAACTCACAGATTCATGAGGAGTAATACATTGTGGTT